TAATGCATTAGTACTGTTGGTGGTAAGCTACCACAGTTATTGTCCTGAGAAAACTGTTGGGATTCCTCAGAGTACATTCCATGGTCAAAGCTAAAAGGACCCAGGGTCAAGGCAGGGGCACTGCACAAAGTCCTGCCCCTCGCCCAGCCCCACAGGCAGGACAACACTTTGTAGCGTATCTCCTTCCTCACACAGTAAAACCACATCCACATGCCACTAGGCTCAGTTAGGACATGATAATGACACACCTGTGCTGGGCACAGGCAAGGATGCACCAGGGGCACCATTCAGGTATCCACAGGTCATCTGTATTATAACAATATGGTGAACTACACACCTAAGGGGTGTCTCCCCCAGAAAACCCTGATACTGCATCTCATCCCCGATAGAGACAAAGGCATTTCAACATCCTCCAAAGAACCTGTTTCAGAATCTTCAGGAGCCAAACAGGAACAACAGACTTCTGCAGAACAAAGACAGCTGAGCAGAATGTCCTACACAGGAGTCCTGAGGTTTGTTCTAGAAACCTAAGACTCACCCAAGAACCAGCTGTCACAGAAACATCTGCCAACCAGCGGGCAACCATGGCAGTCATGCTAGAACTGAGAACAAAATATTAAAACCGCACTGTCAGGAAGGAGAGGGGGCCTTGGAAAGAAATGGTTGAAGCCAGTTTTCTCAATAGTCAAAGCCTGGCTCCTTGAATATTTGCTCAATAGGTTTTTTTCAAATATAATTAATTCTCTTTCCCACTTGGTTATCCAGAAGTATGTAAGAAAGTTTACAAGGAGACACCTCCTTCACCCATGTGAGACTATTGCAGTTAACTTGTAAAGGACCCTTCCCAAGGTACATAAAGAACTCTCCTGCTGGTCTCTGGACCAGGGGCTAGCCACCACCCAGCAAGATCTGGGAGTCCAGATGCTCATCTTTCTCCCAGAAGCACCCAGGAGCCCAACCCTCCACCTTGTAATCCAGCCTGACATCCCTCTGGAGCGCAAGCAACAGCAGGCTTCTAGACCGTGTGCCTGAGGGAGAAAGCGGAACCTTGGCTCGCACACGGCAACCACCTTTTCTCCAACACCTGCGGCAGGTTTTTCCTAATTCAAAACCTTTTAGGTTCAAAAGGTTTTCAAAAGGTTTCCTAATTCAGAACCTTTTAGGATCAAAAGGTTTGGTGGGCTCGAGCGTACCAGGGACAGTGAGGCTGGCACAGGGCCACTGGGAGGGGCATCAATTGGAAATGCTCGCTGCAGAAGAGCAAAGGCTGCAGCCCTCCATATGAACTCCATCGCCACACCAAGACCACAAAAATCCTCACCACTGGGGCCAACAGGCAAGATCACGACGGACAACTGTCCAATGACTGCATCTTACTTAGATCTGCAATCAACACCCTTGGCACTACCAGCAGTTAAGACATCAAAGGCTATATTGCATTGAGAAAAAGTCTGCTGGCAGGGACTTCTCCAAAGTACTGGGGAGCAATGTTAATCTGAAGACTAAGGTCTTTTCGATTCAGGCCTTTTCGATCGCTTGCTATGCGTCTGTGAGCTGGACAATGAATATGGGTGATAGAGCTGAAGCCTTCGGGTTGTGGTGTTGGCTGAACATCTCATGGACAGCCAAAGAACAGTTATGCCTTCGAGAACGTGCAGCCAGAGAGCTCCTTAGAGCCAAGGATAGTGTAGCTTCATCTCACATACTATGAAATGTTGCTAGAAGGAGCTTTTCCTTGGAGAGGACCATCAGACTTGGAAAGGTGGAGGGTCAGCAAAAGAGAGGAAGACCTTCAACGAGATGGGAGGACACAGTGGCCCAAGTGTGTGAGAGATGATGAGGGCATCACAGCACAGGACAGAGTCAAGGTCTGTTGTCTACAGGGTCACTATGGGTCATACCCGCCTCGATGGAACTAACAGTAACAGCAAATATATACTCACCAATTAAAACAGGAGACGGAAATGTGGCTCTCTAATATGATCCTTCTCACTTAACGCCACCCAAAACACCTCTGGCACTCTAAACCAGACCCCTCTCCTACCAAAAGGCCACAGGACAACAACCTTAATAGAGAAAAACAAAGACTCTGTGGTCGCTGTAGAGTTAGTAGTGTAGTAATGTGAGAGGAAATGGCAAGTCTGGAAGCATGGCAAGACAGCGCTCTCAGAGGTGGTCTGTCTTAAGTGGTAAAACACAACACCTGGGAATGAACCAGGTGGGCAGATGGAAAACCCATATTTGTACTGAGGCTCTGACCTTGGCTAACAGAGCTAAGTAAACCCTCTGGCTTTGGTTTAAGGTTGCTAGCCCATGAAAACACATTTCCTGGTGTTAAATGTGAGACTGGAGAAGTATCTGTATTCTCACTTGCAAAGAGCTCTAATCAAGAACAGAGGACCTGGCCAGAAGCAGGACCTGCCTTGTCAAACTGGTTGTTTTACTAGTTGTCATAATGAGATGAGGTGTTGGTTTCTCTGTGCTGAAGAAAATGCATGAAGAATGTTCACACATTTTTAAGCGCTTGTCTTACAAAGGTGTAAAATGCGGATTAGTTTTAGTAATATTCTCCAAAAACAAAGGCAAAACCCCCACAAAACAAGAATCAAGGTGAGCAAACAAACAGTCTTTCACACTGAGGTGTAAAACATGTTGCCTTAAAAAAACCTCCAAACCACCAACAATGCCTCCCCGTTCGTAGTTCCCACGGGGACAGTGCAAACACAGATCATGCTCTCTCCCCATTTTCCAGTCTTGTGATCTTGGTTTGCAGCTCAGCAGTGGGGTAAAAATATCAGAGAAGGTGATTCTTTGTGAACAGAGGAACTCTGAAGATGGGACAGCACAGCTTTCCTCAAACATCAAGTATTGGACATCATCCCCGAAGAATTGCCCTGGAGCACAAGTGAACCCCACCGCTATGCCAGGAAGTTCTGCCCAAATGCCGGCTGAGGGGTCCTCCCTTGGCCAGTAGGGTGGCCCCTCCTCTAAGATGCAAAAACACTGTGCCACTCAAGTGCCCACGGCAAACGGCGGTTCTCTGGCGGTCCCGAGAAAGGCACCTGAGTGCCTTTATGGAGCTGAAGCAGAGGAGCGCCTGCAACCTCTAAGACCCCAGAGGCAGCCACATTGGCAGCTCCTGAGGGCCCGGCACATTCAGGAACCCTGGCAAGGCCAGCTGTGCCAAGCTTCCCAAGGCAGCTGTCCAGGGTGAGGACTGACTTTCCTGGAAAGACAGGGAAGAAACTACTTTGGGTAACTTTGGACTGTTGAGCTTCGCTTTACCCAGCGAGGATGGCATCTGCATTCTGTACTCCACGCACACAGCTGTCAACGGTGACTCACAATGACTAGCAGGAGGACAAGGCCTCAGGGTGTGCCCAAGGCTTAACCTCTAGGCAAGTAGTGGGGCCCTGCTCACCTCCCACAGAGCAGCTGTTGGTTCTGGAAGGCTGACCACTGGCTGGCAGCCAAGCAACTTTAACCACAGTGTCACCAGGATTCCTCATGACACAATGTCACAACCTCCCAAATCCAAGTGGGAGGAGCGTGAATGTCAAAATGTTGCCAGGCGGGGATGTTGAAGACTTAGGTCTCTGGAATCTGCTACAGAGGGGCCACAAATCACAGAGAGTCCAGTTCCTGCAGAGGGCATAGGACTTGTTTGTCCTCCTGAAATTCCAACCTGTTTGTTTCCAGACTCAGCCTGGAAACACATGAGCGTGGTGTCCACAGCAGCAGGCGGCCTTCTCTGTCCACCCAACGCCACGGAGCAGCTCCAGCCGAAAGCCACCATGACACCCTTCAGCCGGCAGAGGGCGCTGCATGGCCTCGCCTGGGGCCGTCCAGCTCAATCCTTCCAGCCCCACCTCGGGTCCCCAGGATTCTGGACAGATGCCTGGAATCCCTCCAGAAGGAATGGCCTGGGAGGGTTTCCGGATGCCATGCTGTGCTTTCCTTCAACTGCAGGAGGCCAGAGCCAGGAGCACCTCCTCCATGGACAGCCACAAAGACATACAGACCCAGGGACCTTAGCTAGTGGCTAAGGTTCCCATCAGTCCAGCTGAAGTTCAAAGGTACCATCTGAAGGGCACATTTCCATGCTGCCCTAAACTTTCTTCTTTAAGACAGATCAGACGGAGCTCTGGTGGCCTAGTGGCAAGAAGCTGTACTGCAATCCTAGAGGTACAGGGTTCGAATCTATCAGATGTTCTGCTGGAGAAGGAAGGGCAATCTCCTCCTGTACCACCAGTCAGATCTGATTTGATGGTACAAACACAAAAATAATAAAATAAAATTTAAGAAAGAAAAAAGACAGATCAACAACCTCTCAAACCCAGCTCTGGTTTAAGAAGGAGGGAGGGACTGGTCCAGCTGTGGACCCCTGGGTGGTGGCTGGGCAGAGGGGCCCCCCCCAGACCTCCGTGGGACAGCACCTCACTTCCCATCCTTTCAAAGCTTAAGTGGTGATAACAATAGGATACTGCTGATGATGGATGACCTTACAAAGAGTCCTCCAGGAACTCACCTTGGGTAAGAGAGAGATCCCACAGGGCCCGGATTCACTGGGAAGCTGGCTGGCTGAGCCTCTGAATGCCTTTTCCACCTGTGACATCACAAGCCCAACCCTGCCCCCACTGAGCTCCAAAACACAGTCCTGGACCCACCTCTGCCTCTCCCACGGATGCATAGTGGGTTCCATGTTGGGCTGCTAATGGAGAGGTCTACAGTTCAAACCCACCAGTGGCTCTTCCTCCCTGGAACACCAACGGAGGACCATCATGATTCAGGACTGACTTGATAACACCTGGTGGCTGAGGAGAGGTGAACAGGCTGCCCAGGAAGAACAGGGAACACTGTCTGATGACAGCATACCATCAGTACCAACATCTGTCAATTTTCAGAAAAGCACCTGTAGGGATGACCTGAGAAACAGACTGTAGGAAAAGCATCCTCTACCTGTTCACCTGCCCAGAGGGGTGTCAGCTTCCAGAAGGGCCATGGAGACCTCTGCTCAGGACCCTCCATCCAGCACGGGGCTCTTAACCCAGCCTGCCACTGACAAGTCCACAGGGGAACCACCACTACCCAGCCTGCCACTGCCCAGTCCCACAGTTCCACCCCAAGGTGGGGCAAAGAACGCCCGATATTGCCTGATCTTGATTTCAAAGCTGGGCCCACAGGTGAGCCGACTCAATGTAGGAGAAATGAATTTTCTTGTTTTCCCCTTGTGTACCATTGAGTCGGATCCGACTGGCACAGGAGGAGTTTGCCCCTCCTTCTCCCGTGGAGCATGTGGTGGATCTGAACTGCACACCTTTAGGACTGCAACACAGGTTCCTGCCGCTAGGCCCTAGAGCTCTCTCTGTAATGAATTTTCTAATGACTGATCATCCTGTGTCTGCATCTTTACAAACAGCCCAAATGCAGTCTTGTTTCTCTAAGAAAAGCCCTGTTATGCTGTGACTGGGGGGACGCGTCACACCAGGCTTTGTGCGATACATCCCCACGTCCCAACTCCAGATCCCCGCAGACTTCACGCTTTCAACTCAAGTCCAGGGAAAGTCCATCGTCTCACACGCAACGACTCTGCTCCATGATGTAACGCAGCCGACAGCTATTTATTTTGCTGAACACAAATTCCGATGTGGGGAGGGGGAGGGGTAACAGAAACCCAGAGAGGCGTGCGGGCCTGAAGCTGAGGGGCCCCGGGGTCTGCGGGGGGAGGTGGAAGACCATGTGTGCCGCACACAACTCATCTGTCCCAACGAAGTCAGAGAGGGAGCCTGGACACTCCTCCCGTTTTCTTGTTCTGGAATATTCCTACAGTTAATCTTGGATGATCTTGCCCATTTTACAATGGGCTCCAGCCCTGGAGCAAGCACGGCGGGCCAACAGGGCTGTTTTTACGCTTACTGAGCCCAGAATTTTCTAAAGTATCTCCACGGTACAGAGCCTACTGGAGTGGAGAGAAAGGAGGCAGTAATGTCCTTCCTGAGAATCTTCTAGAAGTGTGAGACTTCATGACCTTCCAAGGCAAGAGGACACCTGGATGGGAACAAGCCACCACCAGCTAAGGAGCATTCTTTTGTGTGAAATCACTGAAATTCTTGACAAGGTAAGAGTCATTTAAAAGCTGACTCTGAGTTGATGTATGGAACCCGTGACAGGGAAATGACCAAGGTGTTGGGACAACCTGGATGCCGTGTGGACCTCCTGCCTCCCCCAGCTCAAGTTCTGGTGGTGCCAGTCCTAGCCACCCGTGTAAGGGAGGAAGGACTGAGCTCACGGTGACACAAGTCACGGTGACACAAGTCACGATGACTGACCACCTCCTGACCAGTCTCAAGGTTTGGACGATGATACATGGGAAAGCACCACAGCACCTGGACAGGCATGAAGATGCCGCTTTGCAGGTGTAATCTGTGCCAACAGGGTGCAGCGTTGACCTGAGTTGGCATCAAAAGGAATGAGGACTTGGACCCTTTAACACCGTCCCCCCCAGCTTCATGTCATTTACCCAGGAAGTTGGGCATCAGACAACAGAACCTTCTAAAGTTTGCTTAAAAAAGAAAAGATGACCGCTTCTAACTTAGGAACCTGTTCTCACTGTCATTCAGCCGGGTGCCCTGCTGTGTGGTGCCTGCAGGAGGCCCTCATAGCAAGGGCTGGGCTGGGCCCCAGGCTACAGCCAGCAGGGCCCTCAGGCCCCCAGCTCGTGGAACCCTCAGCTGCAACCCCAGCCTGGACCACCCAGGTAAGCTGTCCCTGGATGTGGAATTCCTGTAAACACACTTCTGCTTCTTTAAGCCTTTACCTTTTGAGTCAAATTCCTTATAAAGCAATAGAAGATTATTGTAAGCTTTTTCCAACCTAACAAATTTACTAGACACTGATGCAGCACAGTTCAACAGAAGAGATAAAAATACTAACACATTTGTACTGCGTGGCACTGAGCTTATATTACCTACAGGACAGAGAACACTAACAAAAAGCCAGCGCCACGCTGTAAATCCTCAGCTGCCCATGCTGACGTGAGGTCTGTGATACATCCACTTCTGTAAACTCTCGGGGGTCAGCTCTATTCTCCTCGCAACAGCAAGCCCCGCAGGCTGGCAGAACATGAAGTCTGCTGATACTTTCCCTCACCAGAGTTTATAATAAATCCTAGGGACACACACAGCATGCACAGACCTAGCCGAGGCAGCCTGGGGTCCCTGCTCTGACTACATGCACCGTCACACTGGGGACACTTAAAACATCTACTGCAAACTGGTTCACACTGCAACACACCTTCTAGGCTGCCTTCTGCATAGTGAGCTGGTGGCTAAACAGAATTCTCGATTTCTGATCGTCAGAGTCCTTGACCTGCTGCTCCCGGCAGGCCTAAACATGCCAAGGAGACGCTGTGAGTGAACATTCAGGTAGGCAGCAAACTGTCCCCAAGTGCACACACAGTGCATCCTTGAGATGGGCAGAACGGCGGGCGTGGGGCTGCTACCAGAGAGCAGAACTGAGGGGCCCAAGGTGAGGGAAGCGCTGGAATGTAACAGCAGATATACCACACCCCCACAAATGCACGACACACAGTCAGACAACACATATCCATGCACACACACACACACACTACCCTGCAAGTGACATACAAGCACACGCATGTCCCGTGTCTGGCCCCTGATGGTTGTAACACCCTAGTGTTCCTGTGGGCTCTGACTCCACTGCTGCTGTCAGAGAAGAAGCCCAGGAGTCCAAGCTGGGCCCCTCCTGGTCCTGGGCTCCTACCCTCCACTGCCTGCAGCAGCTCCACAACATACTAAATGCTGCAAAACCCTGGGCACACAGCTAGTCCGGGTGACACCAAACAGGTTCAGGTTGCGGCTGTCCCCTCATGCAGAGCCTGTGCCCAAGCAGTTAGCATCCTCAAAGGCAGAGCAGGCCCCAGCCAGGAAAGGTCGCATATGCAAGGACACAGGCTAGGAAAAGAAAGGAAGAAAACTTCCTCTCAAAGCTCACTCATAAAAACATCCAGGCAGAACAGAGCCAGGAGGGAGGGATGCTCTTGGTACAGCTGTTGGCAGCTGGGAGTCACTCTCACGTTTAAAGATCTGGTGGTGCTGTCGTTAAAGAAGCCAGCTACCAACCAAAAGGTCTGTGGTTCAAATCCATCAGCATCAATTTGGGAGAAAGACGAGGTAGTTCCCACAGAGCTCACAGCCTGGGGCGAGTCACTGTGAAGATCACTCTGTGGGTCGAGTCTGCTCCTCCTACAGGGTCTCAAGGAGTTGGATCCGGATGGTGGCAGGGGCTGTGGCCTGAGTATCAGGTTAACACCAGTGGACACCGGCAGACCACACACTGCACAGAGGGCCTTATTTTGGTTACTCACAGGGGGCTATCACCCAGTCCCAAGCACAGGAAGATGCCACAGAAAACATACCCAGCACTGTGGTCCACCTTGGTCCTCACACCTTCTCTGGAGGGGTTGCAGGTGAGCCCCCCCCCAAACTCCCAGATGCTTAGGACAGAGCTCCTCCCCAGTCTCAAGTGCTTTCTGGAATGTACCGTCGCTCCCAGGACCACAAACGAGTCCAGCACCCAAGGGCTTGGACTCTGCAGAGTCACTCACTCCTAGGACCCGAGTCTCCTAGCTGGACTTTGCAGGATAGTTCCACACTCATGCTGCCTCCCACGTCCAGACTCAACACAGCCGTTCTCTTAATCAGAGGGTGCCGATGACAGACACCCCAGAGATGATAGACTTCTCTGCCTGAAACACGTCCACGCCACCAGCGGCCATAGCACACTGGTCCCCACTGCATGATGAACAATGGTCATGACACATTTCCACATGTAATGCCTACAGAGTTCTAGAAAGTTCTCTCTCCCTGCTTCCCTTGGGCTTGTCCATGCCCACTCCAGATCACCATAGGGACAACATCTCCTGCCCACTCAGGAGACACAGGGCAGGTTCTGGACTCTGAGGGACAAGAGAGGATCAGCCCCAATGAAGCTGCAGGTGACCTGATTCTCAGAGAGACCTCGTTGCTGTGTGCCAGCTGAGACGGAACCGACAGCTGACCCTCTGGGGGCTTCTGAGAGGCAGTTCGCTGCAGGGGGGAGACGGGGCATCCTCCTCCGGGGAGCAGCTGGTAGACTCGAGCCACGTACCTCTGGGTTGGCAGCACAGCTCCTACCACTGAGCCACCAGCGAGTGCTGCCTCGGAGACCTCAGGAAGGGTTAAAAAAACTTTCAAAAACAAAACTTACAAAAATGGCTTCAACACAATCTGATGAGGTCAGCGAGTTGAGGGGCCTGGTGATACGTCTAAGACAAAACATCTGGTGGGGTCAGGGGTCGACAGGAAGTGAGTGGGCTCTGGGCTGCTGCGACCGGCCTGGCCAACACTCTTAAGAGACACACATGGCTTAGCTTAGCTTGAGAACAACAAGACCCCCTTTCAATTGTCCTTGGGTCTGCTGCCCCGCCCTCAAAACAAGAGGCCAACTCTGAACAGTGGAGTCCGCTCAGGACCGGCCTGAGCGGGCTTTTCCCCTCTTTGTTCATTCACAGAACAACAACAGAGGCGCAGAAGGTTCCTGAATGAACAGCCTCCTGGGAACGGGCCCTTGCTACTAGCACGGTAAGCCCCCGTGGGGTCAGGGCAAGAACTTTCTAGAATGTTCCAGGCATCCCGGGCCATGAATCTCCAGCTTTACTTGAGAGTTGGAAAACAATTTGGGTCACCGGAATAGCAAATGCTGAAATAAATCCATCACTGTAAAAACCAAAACAAGAGGTCTCACTGGGAAAACAGGAAGTCTTGGTACATTGAACAGCTTAAAATAGAGTCTGCTTCATGTGTCGACAAAGCCCCAGCCCCAAGGCCTCTGGCTCAGTCTTATACAAGGTCCATCTCACCTTCCACCACTCCCTGTGTGCACCACCCGGGCGCCCCCCCCCAGCCACAGGCAGCCCTCCCTGTTCTTCCTCGGGGCACCACCCGGGCGCCCCTCCAGTGATGGGTGGCCTGGTCTTTGTTACAGCGCTGACACAGGTCACAGGGTCTGGGTTCTGGCCACACTTCCTGCCCACGACCCTGAGGAGGGTCCCACAGGAAGCTAGACCCAGCCTGGCCTCGTAGGAACCACTGCTGGTGCTTTTAATGAAGGGGGGGGTAGTTTCTGGTTTTTATCGTAAACATTTAGAAGATGGAGGCTCTGCAATCAGTCCTGGGGCATTCCTGACTGCTCCGGGGTCGTTCAGACGCCCCACTGCTGGGCGGAAACGCCTGTAGGTCTACTTAACCCGTGTGCTGTCCGCTCTTCAAGAAGGAACCAGCCCCTCTCTGACAAGCCCAGCAAGACGAAGCCAGGAAGTCAGTGCTTCCATTCTCTTCAAAGCCATCCACATGAAAAGACACGTGCCCAAAATGTTCCAGAAAGTTCTCTCAGCACATGAAGTGAAGGCGACTTCTGTCCTCTTGGGGCTGCACTTTCACAAGGGGCCTCCCAGGCTCCACTCCTAATGCCGGCTCCTCCCCTGTAACTCTCAGCTCCTTCCCGCGGCTTCTGCCTTGCTCATCTGATTACAGGTAAGCAATAGGCCAGCACGACCACGTGAACACAACATCAAACGCAGAGGGCCAGGACGGCCACATGAACACAGTGTCACACGCAGCGGGTCACATGAACACAGCACCACACGCAGTGGGCCAGCATGACCATGTGAACACAGTGTCACACGCAGCGGGCCAGCATGACCATGTGAACACAGTGTCACACGCAGCGGGCCAGGACGACCACATGAACACAGTCACATGCAGCGGGCCACATGAACACAGCATCACACGCAGCGGGCCAGCATGACCATGGGAACACAGTGTCACACGCAGTGGGCCAGCATGACCACGGGAACACAGTGTCACACGCAGCGGGCCAGGATGACCATGTGAACGCAGCGTCACAAGCAGGCGGATTACACCTCCACTCAGGATGGAGGAACCACACCGAGCCCAGAAGGGAGACCTGAGCCAGTCAAAATCCTCCCAAACCACCAGAACTCACTAACCCCAGAGTCCGTCTCCAAGGCCAGGCCTATGGGACCTTCCTGAGTCCCTGCTGCCCTGGGAAAGACAGCGGTGGGCTCTGCACAATGACAACCACGTGTGCATGGCCCGGCAGACTGAATCATGGAACTTGTCATTATTTAGGGCTAAAACTCACACGAGTGTTTAAAAAAACTCACCCTTAAAACCACTCTGGATGTTTTCGGATTCCGACAAGCATTGTTTGTGGAGAAAATCAGCTATTCGCAGACAAGGAATAACAGCCATTTCACATGGTAGCCTAACTGGTAGGGGTGGCACGGCCAGTTCATAAGAGGACAGTTCGAATCCACCAGTGGCTCTGAGGGTGAAAGATGGGCAGTCTACTCCATGTGATTTACAGCCTCTGAAAACCTGCTGAGTTAGTCATGAGTCAGTTCAGACCCAATGGCGATGATGAGTTTGAGTGGTAAAGTGGTGACAGCATTCAGGTAACCCAAAGGCCAGTGGTTTGAATTCCCAGCTACTCCCGGGTAAAAGGATGAGGCAGCCCCTCGCAGCCCCTAAAGGGCAGCTCTCTTCTGCCTACAGGGCTGCTACCTACCCAGGAGTCGCCTGCACGAAGTCTGGGTGTTACCTGTCTGATGGCACAATGGTTATGAGCACATGGCTTCTAACTGGTCAACTGATGGTTCAAACCCACTTAACGTTG